AACTAACAATGTTCTGTAATGAGATCTGGCGCCCTCTTCTGGCATGAAGGCAAATATGTAGGTAGAACACTGTATACCTAATAAACATTTTAAAAATCCTAGCTTATTTTTCCTTTTCCCTGCTCCCTTTTCTATTCTTTATTATTCACTTACCTCCATTAGTTTTTAGCCTTTAAGTTTGAGCTGTATTATTTTCCCCTTTCTTTCCTATTGCTATTAGTGGTGCAGTTGTTTTTAACTAAGTTTTGGGAGGATTCATTTTATTTTAGTGGTTAAGTTTTATAATACTGAATATCAAACCCAAGGCTTGTGACTATTAAGCAAATTGTTTCTCCACTGAACTACATCCTTAGCCCTTTTTAATTTTTTTAGTAGGATCTTTGCTAAGTAACCCACACTAACCTGAAACTTGGAATCTCCTGCCTCTGTCTCCCAAGTGGTGGGCATACAGACATGCACCACCATGCCTGGATTTATGGTTTGTTTATGTGCTGTCCTTGTTGTCGCTGTAGTTTCATTTCTCCTTTTTGAGCAGTCTTCATGATCAAGCCCCTAAGAGGAAGCTGCTCACTAGGAAGACGCATGAACATGGAGGAGACTTCCATTCCATCACACACAGAAATCTCAATGCAGAAACAAAGCCAATATGACTCCTTCATAGGTTTATGACTCCAGTAAATGAATCCCAAGTGGATGAAATGCTGGAGAAAGGATTCAAAGATTGACTTAAAATCATCAGTGAATTCAAGAGGATACGAAGGAGCAATTAAAAAGAGAGATTCTGAAAAAGACTCCAACCACAAACTGCCAGCCCCAAACACATGCGTATGAGCAATGAATCCAGTATTATGTAACAGTAATATTCAAGAAGTCATGAGTTTCAGAGGGAGTGAAGGAACACAGAGGAAGCTGGAAGAATAGAGGGAAGGGTGTAAATGATGTAAATTCAGAACTCAAGCATCAGATTCTCATAAAAGTCAGGCATGGTGGCACATGCCTTCAATACCAGCACCCCTTGAGAGGCAGAGACAAGTGGATCTCTGTGAGTTCGAGGTCAGCTTAGTCTACATAGTTCCAGGACAGTCAGAGCTACATAGAGAGACCCTACCTCAATAAATGAATAAATAAATAAATGAAATTAAAAATAAAGATTTTGAATTTTAAAAGAAAAACAAAAAGCTACTAAGCAGAGCATGGTGACACACACCTTTAAGCCCAGCACTCAGGAGGCAGAGGCAGGTGGATCTCTGTGAGTTTGAGTACAGCCTGGTCTACAGAGTGAGTTCCAGGACAGTTAGGGATGTTGCACAGAGAAATCCTGTCTAGAAAAACAGAAACAAAATAAAAAAGACACACTAAATATAATAAGAAAAGTTAGCAAAGAATTGAAGTCTAAGTCAGGTGGTGGTGGCACACTCCTTTAACTAGCTCTGGGGAGGCAGAGACAGGCAGATCTCTTTGAGTTCAAGGCCAGCCTGGTTTACAAAGCTACACAGAGAAACCATGACTGGAAAAAAAAGAATTGAAGTCTAAAATACAAGAAGAATTCCCACACATAAACAGGTACACAAGCAAGATGGATATGCACAGAGGACAACAAATAAGTACAAGACACATCATGGAGAAGAAAGTCCCAAAGGTCAATGCATACATAAACAGCTCAACCTTACTACTACTAATCAAAGACTCCGACATTAAAATCAAGGCCGGGTGTGCTGACACACACCTTTAAAACCAGTGCTTCAAGGGCAGCAGAAAGCAGATCCCTGAGGGTTCGAGCCCAGCCTGGTCTATATAGTAAGTTCCAGGCCAGTCAGGGCTACACAGTAAGACAGAAAAAAAGCCTAAATAAAACCAAGATAGTACTGGAAGCGATTGCTCATGCCTGCAATCCCAACCCAATCCCAGCACTCAGGAGTTTGAGGCTAGACTGAGTTCCTTAGCGACTCAATATAAAAACAAGCAACGGCAAAACTAGATAGCATAATTTACATTCACCAGAGGCCAAAAATGCTGTGGCGGCACAGCAATAGATGTTGATCAGGTTGCAGAAGAGCTGAGAAAATAGGGCATCCTTGCAGGAGTATGGATAAGGACAGCTGCTTGGAAAAAAGAACAGTCACTTGGAGAAAATCTGAGAAGTTTAGACATGGGCTTGTCTTAAAGTCAATAGTCACACTCCTAGATATAAACATAGCTTCCCAGCCATTTTACCCCACAAAAAATAATGCTTGTACTTTATTTTTTGGGGGCCAGGTCCAATAAATCCAGGAGGTCACCCATAGGGATAGGGGTCTCAAAAGATGGAGAACACTGCCAAGGATCCCATGAACACATGTAGCATCCCCTAGGTGTAATATCTCCTGACTGGAAACAACCAAAATGCCTTCAACAGCAGATTGGATGCTGGCTGGCATGGTGGTGCTCACCTTTAGTCCCAGAACATGAGAGATGGAAGCAGGAGGATCATGAGCCCAATACCTCCCTGGGATATATAGTAAGTAACACAGATCCCATCTTAAAAACAAAAAAAGAGGGGCCGAAGCTAGAGAGATGCCTTGGCAGCTAAGAGCACTTGCTGCTCTTACAGAAGATTCAAGTTTCTTTCTTTCTTGCTCTCTTTTGTTTTGAGACAGGGTTTCTCTGTGTAGCCTTGACTGTCTTGGCACTCGTTCTGTAGACCAGGCTGACCTCGAACTCACAGAGAGCTACCTGCCTCTGTCTCCTGAGTGCTGGGATTAACGCCATGTGCTACCACCACCAGGCCTCAAGTTTCTTTATCAATACCCACATCCGGCATCTCCTGACCCAGTTCCAGGGGATCCATCACCCTCTTCTGGCATTCTTAAGTGCCAGACACACATAGTGTACAACATGCATGCAGGTACTCATACATACACACAAATTAAAAATAAATACTTAAAAAACAAACCAAAGGCATGGAATAGCATACAGATTGAGATTAAATCAGTGTGAGAATACACTGATTCCATGATTCCTAATTCAACTATTTACTAAACTTTATTTCAATCCCTATGTCAATACAGGTGCAATTTTAGGACCGTTTGTGACCACATGCAAATGCGATTAAAAATTAAAGTCACTCAAAGGCCAAGTGTGCTCTCAATTGAGGTAAAAAAAAGTGGACCCTCTTACCTTTTAAACTACAATCAAATATCTTTTTCTTAGTGTCACATATTTCACATTTTTGTGCTTTACTGGTGATTTCCCCTTAAACATGACCCCAAGTGCTGAAGTCTGGAGTTCTTCCACACAGACAGCTGGAGGTGCCTTAGACACAGACACAGGCGTGTGAGATAAGCTCTGTTCAGACAAGAGTTAGAAACCTGTTTCCTATAAAGCCTATGGTCATAAGCCAACAGTATAGAACAAGCAAAGAATGCTTTTAACAAGATGCTTGTGAAACCAGCTCTATGTGTGGGTAGATGAATAAATGCTTAAGACCAGAGAGAATTGTAGGAACTTGGCTCTATTTCCCCTGGGAGCAATTTGAAAACTGGAATAACTCAATGGAAAGCAAAGGAAATGCTAGCACTCTGGAACATTCTAGAAACCAAGGAAGAAAATGAGGAAAACTGGCAACAGTCTCAGGCAAATTATGACAACATTGGTGTCTCATCACCCCTGCAAGGCTTTCCTTGTGTTTCCATTCTATACCTTTAACGCACGTTCCTCTGTATGTTTATATGTACTCTCAAATAACATATATGCCTCACTTAGATTTTAATACACAAATGTGTATCCAAATCCATGAAACCTTCTAGAACTTGGTGTTATGCAGCCATGCTTGCTTTTGAAACATGTTAAAAACAACCTTGGGGTGTGGGCTGCCTCCATTTAATCGGCTGGGTGCATGGGCCAAGTCTGCATTCATGCACTCCCTTACCCATGGAAATTCAGAGAGTTTCCCAAAGGTTTCCTTCATTAACACCGTTGTGAATAGGTCCTTGCCCTCATGGGAGTGGGTTCTTCACTTAGAAGGGCAGCCGTGAGGTAGATACCCAAAGCTAGGAGCTATCTTGATGTAAAGATTTATCTGAGTGCTTAGAGAGTTGTCAGGCACATAGTGATTGCGGCGTGATTTCTGTTCCACTGATTCTGCCAGATCACCCACCCAAGGGGGTGCTCTCTATTAGTTGTACCCTCCACCTCAGAGTAGGGCAGACTGCCTGTTTGAACCCACTCGCCCTCGGTAGGATTAAAGGTCTTTTCGTGTTTGCAAACCTGCTATGTGAACAATAATTTCTATTTGCAGCTTCGGGATCAGCGACACTAAATGTCTTTGCACTTATCCAAGGAGATTCCTCTTCTTTGCTTTTAACTCGGGGTGAGGATGGGATGGGGTCTAAAAGAATTGGGAAAATTGTAGCCTGTCAACACGGTGTCATGGGAACATGGCTGCTTGCAATCATAGTTGCTGTCTCCACAGCCTGTGGCTGGGAAGCCATCTTCTATCTATCTGACCCTTCTATGGAGCACTGATCACTGACCATGGACTTCTTAGCCCACTGTCATGGTCTGGTTTCCCAATCGTTTCGACGTTGAGTGCTTCACAGTCATCACGACACTGGATCCTCACAAGGTCCTGGCCTATGTGGGGTTACTTTCTCCACTTTGCACAAGGAAAGAGTCTCGGAGGGTGCAGGTCTCTTTCCACTGTAGGTGTTTGGCCAGAGGAGGTGAGAAAAAGATAGATAAGGCAGACTGAACCACATATCCACACTTCCCACTCACCCCCATTCACATTCCCACACCGCATTCATAGGCTTGGACCAGCCAGGATAAGAATTCCAAACAACCAGTCATGCTCATTCTTATTGGCTAGGGCCTGAACAATGGTCCAACAAGGATCAATCTGATTGGTGGAGGGTAGGCCAATGAGGAGACCACATGAAGTCATTAGAATGTTACCCTTGTTTGTGTTTAGTGGTAGTGAACGTGGTGTCTATGGTGACGGTATCTCTTGAGGGCCTAGCTGGTCTAGCCAAGACTAGGGATACCCTTGTCCTGACAAACCAGGCCACGTAGAGTAACACTAGCAACATGAACTCCAACAAAGAGGCGGCAGTTGAAGAAGTAGGCTTGGACCCCGAGGATGGGGAAGTCACTGATGTCTATGTGGATATCCAATGCTCACTGCAAAATCTCGACCCGGACTCTTATGTAGGATCTTCACAGAGTAGCCTAAGTGAGGATGAGGTCGAGAATGAGGACAATTCTGAGTTTGATTCAGGGTCCAAGATACAGGTGGTAGAGTCAGGAGTGGGTGTCTTTCAAGATCACAGAAAGCAGTCTGTCTCCTCAGTCATCGACAAAGGGGATGTTATGGACTGCTTACCTCTTGTCAATGACAAGGTTAAGGAAATGGTGCAACAGTCAACCAACCAGATGAGCCAGGGTGCTAGAGGCCACTTATCCTCAAAAAGCTGTATCACCAAACAGTCTAGCCCTTGGGCAGACGCAGAGGCAGACCACAACAGAAAAAGCAGGATGGGCAAGAGATTGGTAGATGTAAAGCGGGCCTCCGTGGCCCCTCTCCACCACAGGGGGTCCAAAGGAGGCAGAGCCTGCAGGACAAAGAAGAAAAAGAAAAGCACCAAAAATAAGCAAATAGTCCTGGAGGATATTCCAGACCCACCACTTAACCGTGACACAGAATCCGATGAAGAAAAAGAGATGCAGGTAATGAGAGTGACCATTTGCTTCAAGAATGGAGTGCAGATCATATCCAGCAATGCTATGGATCCCGATGACAAAAACAAAAAAAGCAACGTCCAACCCAGGGTCGATTTTAATCATATGACTCTGCAGATGTCTGCTCCCATGGGTACTGGAAAGCTAGGCACCTCTTGTTCTAACAGAAAAGCAACTGTGTTCAGAGGTAAGGAACAAAGCAGGCCTCGTTACTCAGGAGCTGCTGCAGGTGGGCTACGGAAGGCCAGTTCTAAGAAGAAATTAGCCCAGGAGAAGAAACCCCTCCAGGATGCCCCAAGACTCACCGGGAGAAGACCTGTCCCACTGTGGGGGCAGAGACACAAGGCAGCTCCTGTGGAAACTTCCACCTTCCCTCCAATAACCTGTGTTCCTACACTTGAGAGTTCCAAAAAATACTCCACAACACCTCTAGAAGCCGTCGAACCTGCCCATGGTACATCCAGAAAGAAAGCAGTAGCAAGGAATGTAAGGGAGGGCCTGCCGGCAGCCAGGGGAGACAGAGGCCTTGTGTGTAAAGATGCCGTGAAGAATTTGACAGCAATGAACCCAACATCAGAGTCCTACAAGGCCAAGGAAATTCCCCAGGCCCAAGTGAGTAGACCAGCCTCTGTGTCCTGTCCCCCTGCCCTCTCCCTCCCCAGCACACACCATTCCCTGCTCCGTCTGCCCCTGCAGAGGGTGTGTAGTCAGTCTCAAGGGCCTCCTGATCCCTCCCTCCTGGTTCTTCCCCAAGGAAGCCAGGCCAGGACCTGAGCCTTTCCATTGCCTGTGGGTGCCTTCCTGGCAGAGCTCTGCCCCCTGACCTGAGGCTGACGAGGAACAGATAGTGCAGATGGGATGAGCCTCAGCAGCCTCCATTTTGTTCCCGCACTTGCCCCTCAGCCCCTCCACCACATGTACTCAGTGAGAAATTTTTGTGTGAGCTTCCAACACACAGGGCAGAGCCACCTTGCTCGTATCATGGAGACGTGACCAGTGGAGACCCCAACTTGAGAGCACCCCAAGTTCCAGGAAACTCCCAGCTCGTGGCCCTGAGTCAGAGAAGTGCCAGACCCAGAGCACCTGCACCGGCTGGTGAGTCTGTGGGGTTTGAGAGCCGTGGGGTAGAGGAGGGAAACTTCAGGCTGTGTCACTGAGGGATTGCAGCCTTGTTTCTAGAGGACACAGGGTGTGGACGGGACTGTGGTGTACATACCTTTTAAAAGTAGGACAACTCCAACTCTAGAAGCTGGATTTTAACATTCCAAAACCTTTTCTGGTGAGTCCTATTTGCCAGGCTCTTCCCAGGTCCTGGATATGGCTGTAGCCCTACTAGCACCAGCCCAGGGCTAAAGTACTAGGAAGACAGGTTCAGAGCGGGCTGAAGCTGAGAAACCATTATGTACAAGTTGCTGCCAGCAGAGGGCGATGTTGCCTCATTTTAGACCTCACCAGGCCCTTCCCACCTGGATCCCGAGCCTGGATGCTGCATCCTGTGTTCTCTTTCAGGTGACCAAAGTTCATCTGTGGTCCCCCCACTCCCTGTTGGGGAGAAGCATCATCAAGCACCAAGGACACTGGGATGTCAGCAGGTAAATTTTTCTTAGCTATGACAACTACCATCCAGCCCCGATAGATTGTAGGTAGATAACCAAGTTAACCTGGCTCCTGTGCCCACTCCCGCCGCCCTACATGCCACAAAGAGAGGGCACCTCCTTTTTGCTCAGGATTGTCACAGTACTGTGGGGGTGAGATGTATAAAGACTTGGAGGAGTGTTAATCAAGCAGAGAGGAGGCCAGGACATTGAGTGTTAACCTTTCGTTTTTTTTCCCTTCCATTGTCTTCTGGGCTAGTGTCCCTTGCTAGAGAAAGAAGCACACAGGCTAAGAAAACAACTAGGTATGAGACCCTGGGCAGGGATGGGTGATGGCAGGGGCAGAGGGAGCTGGGTATGGGTACCTAGGGAAGGCTAGCCAACTGCTACTCCTGTCGGGAGGTAACACCAAGCAGGTCAGACCACGCGTCAGTCCTCTCTGCAAACTGTTTGCCGTGGCGTGCAACTAGAGCCGTGAGCGTGTGCTCTGCCAAGTGCTCGCCCATGCTAGTCTCCTGAGGAGGACATTTCCACATGGAGCCCAGTGATGGGTGGAGGAGTCAGTCACAGGGCTTTTTGGAAAGGGGGTGGGAGGCAGATTGACAGTTGGGGATTCCCTGTGGATAGAAGGGAGAAGGGGTGATTATGGTAGTTGCGTCCTGTGTGTCTGCGTCTGTGTCTGGGGTACCCATCTGTACCTCTGTGTTTCAGCCATCATGCAGGCCCTCAACGAAAAGTTCCAGGATCGTTGACATCAGTGTTGTGCAGTCCACAGGACCTTTGAAGTGAGTGTTCTGCTTCCCACACCCTGCTTCCGACAGCCCTCGCCACACTCCTGACTGCTCAGGAAGCCAGGGCTGGCCTGACTCTGTTCTGCCTCACAGGTTGGAGCCGGCATCCCTGCAGAAGAGGCCCGGCTGCCACCCAGGGATCCCTGGGGCTATGACCCTGCTTCTTCCTTCTACTTATTCTACAGCCAGAGCCACCTTTGTGTCCCTGCTTTTGCCCCGTCTGCTGCTGGTAATAGCTGTTGCACATTAAAGTAGTTTCGTCCTGTGTTCTGCTCTTTCCCTAGCCCTTTAAGAACAGCAGCCCTAGGGATAACCTGGGCTAGGCACTTCTGCTTCTGATCAGGCGCCTTGCACTCGTTTATCTTCATGCATTGGGTTTGGGCTCTGTCCAGCCAGCATTTCCTCCCTTCCATATTTCCCTGTCCCTTCCCTGACTACCATCCTTCTCTGGGACAGTCATAGAACCCATTTTGCCTGCTGTTCCTTGCATTCAGCAGGAACTCTGAGTCCTTCCCTTGGACTAAGGGGGAGTCTCTCTTCTGGATCATTTCAGTAGACATTGGGGTATTATTTGTGTTTATCTTACCCACTTCCTGGGCTCCATCATTTTTTATGTACATTGATGTTTTGCTTGCATGTATGTCTGTGCACCATGTGTGTGACTTGTACCTGTGGAAGCTGGAAGATGACTTTGGAGCCCTGGAACTGAAGTTATAGACAGCTGTGTGTTGACATGTGGTTTCTGGGAATTGAACCCAGTTCTTTTGGAAGAGCAGCCAGTGCTCTTAACTGCTGAGCCATCACTCCAGCCCCTCTTGGTTCCCATCCTTTCTAGATCATTCTTTCCTTGTGGAGGCATCACACTCAGGGATGACTTGCCCAAAACTTACACATTATCCTTGGGCTGCTGCATAGCCTCTACCTTGGGGACTCAGTTTCTGTATCCTCTGATTTGCCCTGATCCATTACAGTAGAGGAGTGGAAAGCAAGATCACATCCTGGTGGGCAATGGAGCAGAGCAAAGCTGCAGGAAGTCACTGTGGGGAAATGGGTTGGAGGGGGAAGAGAGCATTACCTGTCCATCTTCAGAACTGAAGATGGTGGCTGAGCCTATAGTGGCTCCCCTGAGCCAACCTGGAGGAACTGCACACTAGCAGCTCAAGGGAGAGTCAGGGACCAGAGCCGCCACATCCTCTCACCCTGACCAGCCAACTGCCTTTCTCCTGCTCTCATTGGTTGCTAAGATGATTCACACGTGCAAGGATGGCAGCCACAGCAGCTTTTGACCTCCTGCATGGTACAGGTTTCCCTGATTATGATGCTTATATATCCAAGATCTGCCCTCCAGACTGCCCCCTGAGGCCACAGGACCTCTCCCTGAGCCTCATACTCTGAAGTTACCATCACAGACAGTTGGAGGTTTTTGGGTGCCAGCACCAAGCAAGGCTTGGAACTCAGAGGTAGATCCATGATTGAGGTGAGGCAGGTGCAGAGTCGGTCAACTCCCATTCACAAGAGGCTGTTCATTTCCTGCAAAGTGAAGCTGAATCTCAGGGCCATTGACTCTATTGGTCCAGCTGTGTGTGCTTGTGAATGTGTAATGGCACATGATCACCTTTGAAGATCATGCCCAGCACATGTTAGGGCTTGAAGCAGCACTCTAGTGAAAACCATCTTTGCCTGGTGCACATTTGATTCCACCCAGGGAAGGGCAGCAACAGGGGGTAGAATGGAGTAGGAGAAAGTGGAAATCAGCAAACTCACTGAAAAGGCTGTCAAAGGGTTGATCCTTCTCCAACATGAACACATCTCAGAAGTCCTGTCCGGGGAGATTGTTGAGTTCTCACCTTACAAGCATAGGCACTTGAGTCTGGATCCCTTTAAAAGCTGAGCCTGGTGGCTCACTTCTGTCACTCTAGAACTGAGACAGGGGCAGTGAGAGAAAGGTCCAGACCTTGACCCCAGCCAGTCAAGTGCAGGGGGGATCAGATGCCTGTGGAGAGTGGGGCAGAAATTCCTCTGATCCACACAGCTTAGAGAGATGCTGCATGCCACAGACAATAGACCTGAAAGCTGGGGGCATAAACCATCCACTCAGAGCCCTTCCCCGAGAAGATGGTAGGCTTCCTCGCGACGTGGCTCTCATCCCGAGTCTCGTGGATACTTCTGGCAGGGGTGAGGGATGAGTGAAGCCTCTCAGACTCAGCAGCTGGGCTCCAGACAGCTTGCACGTGTCAGCCAGTCCTGGCTGTCGTGCATTCCCGCACCAGGCACTGTTCTTGTGGGCTCAGGGCCATTGTCACCGGTACAGCGGCGTGCTGCAGCCATGGGGGACGCCAACAGCGCTGTGAGAAAGACTTGCCAGCCCTGCCCCTGCCCTTTGAGCACACAGCCCCTCTCCCTTCAGGCAGACCTACTGCTGCCCAGTACCGTTGCTGTGCTGTGCTGACCCCGCTGCCTCCAGGGGAGTTAGTGCAGATTCCCAGGCTCAGGTCTGAAAAACAAGTCCGGGCCCCACTGGAAAGGAGGAGGCAGGGTGGTTCCCTTCAGTCACTCCCCCCCCCATTTCTCAGCTTCCCCTCCAGCCAGAAGAGGGCGTGCCCTGGAGAGCACCCAGGCTCTGTCCAGCCTCCTGCTGCTACTCAGCTCAGGGAGGCTGTGCAGGCTGCTACTCAGCTCAGGGAGGCTGTGCAGGCTGCTACTCAGCTCAGGGAGGCTGTGCAGGCTGCTACTCAGCTCAGGGAGGCTGTGCAGGCTGCTACTCAGCTCAGGGAGGCTGTGCAGGCTGCTACTCAGCTCAGGGAGGCTGTGCAGGCTGCTACTCAGCTCAGGGAGGCTGTGCAGGCTGCTACTCAGCTCAGGGAGGCTGTGCAGGCTGGCTGAGCTGTGTGCCTACCCTTGATGCTCTGGCACTGAGGAGTCCCTAGCAGCATCCCACTGGGACTGGGAGCCAGGACTCCCCTGAGTCCCTGTACAAACATGACCTGGAACTTTGGTGGCAGCACAGACGGTCCCCTTCTCCAGGTCCAGGGAACACCCTAGCGGAGCCAGGCACCCCCTAGCCAGGCAGCCATAGTCAGCCGTGCAGAGGCCCAGCGCCCAGCACGTGAGGCTGTGAGGTGACAGCCACAGTGTAGGAGACACTGTGAGAGTCACTGCACAGATTCCAGTTTGCTGTCCTAGGCTCCTGTGTGACTCTCACCCACCGTATGTCCAGTTGTCCTCCATTTCCGGTAGCTTTTTCCTTTTCCACATTTCCGCATCTTCCATTTCCTCCAAAGGTGAATCCAGAACTCCTGCTGGCCACCTGTGGCCATGTGCCCTTGGATGGTGTGGCCCCCTTGTGACCCTGGGAATCATACCTGTAGTGTTCCTGCCACACTGGTCTCGTGGGGACAGTGAGAAGGGCAGCCTGGTGTCTGGGCATGATAGAATCCCTGTGGCCATCAGTCAGAGCAAGTAGCTCAACACTGGCAGCCTCGGAGCCCCTCCCTGTTTGCCGCTGCCCCCACCCATTCCCTCCTCCCTGGCTTTCCTGGGGTCAGCTGAGTTTGAAAGCTCCCCTGACTGTCCCACGAGTCACTCACTTCCACTTGTGGATGAATGCGTGGTGTGACTGGTGGACCTTACGGAGATAGAAAACTTAAACCAGGCCACGCTGGGCATGCCATTTACAAGTGCAGGAAACCCGAGCCTCCAATCCCTCAGGTGTGTTCACAGTGAGTGATCCAACTGGGGAATTATGTCACAGGTGCAGTGACAGTGCATTGCCCCTTCGAGAGTCACCTGTGTGTCCCTTGCTGAGGAGGAAGCAAAATGCAAAAGGCTCCATTCTGTGCGGCACAGGTCCACGACACGGAAAAGACTGCTTTGGGGACAGAATAAGACATTGGCGGTCGTGTTGATCTGTCTGAGGGTGGAATGAATTGGTTTACTACAGGAGCTATGAATGATTTTGAGGTCATTAAATGCTGGCTAGCTCATATTGATCAGTCCTTAACAGCGTTTTAAAGAAACTTGTGAAATGGTGTCTCAAGACATTTTTAGGAAACATTGTGAATACTGTATCTCCAAAGTTTATGACATTTACTATTCACTTTGAATATGAGCAGCATGTTTTCATATATTTTGTGTTTCCCTTTTTATTTCCTGCAAAAATCAATTTGATAGCCTTCTGCTTCTGGTCTTCACTGTTTTAGCATGTGTGTTTGAACACAGAGATCTTCCAGTCTTAAATTGTCCTTGCCAGGATTTGAACCATGGTTACTTGTACCTCATAACATGAGATGAAGAGCGTCCATTCCTTTTAATATTTGCAGAAGAAATGCAAATAACAATGATTTCATTTGTATGTAGGATTTTTAAAGCTCATATTTAAAAACAGACATGTGGCATATAGAATGGTGTTTAAGAGGAGCGGAACAGCCGGGCAGTGGTGGCGCACGCCTTTAATCCCAGTGCTGGGGAGGCAGAGGCAGGCGGATCTCTGTGAGTTCGAGGCCAGCCTGGTCTACAAGAGCTAGTTCCAGGACAGCCTCCAAAGCCACAGAGAAACCCAGCCTTGAAAACCCTGAAAGAAAAAGAGTGGTGGAACGGGGTTGTGATATTGGTTCAGGATATAAAAAAGTTTAGTTAGGCTGGGCATGGTGACCGACACCTTTAATCTCAGCACTCACGAGACAAAGGAGACAAAGGCAGGAGGATCTCTGAGAGTTCAATGCCAGCCTGGTCTACAGAAGGAAATCCAGGACAACCAATGGCTATGTACAGAGACCCTATCAAAAAAGAGAGGGAAAGAAAAGAAAAAGAAAGAAAATTTTCACTTAGGACTAACATGTTAAGGAGATGCATTGCCCTGCAAGGTCACTATAACTACTAATAACATCTTGCATACTTGAAAACATGCCTCATGGAAACAAAGCAGATTGGTACTTACCAGCAAGCAGTGGAGAGGATGGAGTGAAGACGTGGAGGCCAACCGTATTGTGGGACATCTGCAGGTAAGCAGGCCAGGAAACAGAGTCACAGCCCAGCCGGAAGCCCTCTCAAAGGCAGCCTGCCAAATAAAACTGTCCAGGAGAGCCTCAGAAACTGCTAGGGAAAGACTTCCTCATACCGCCTGCAGCACCACAAGCGGCCCAGATGATGCAGAGGCCCGAGAGAACCACTAACAATGATAGAAACCACTTACAGTACCCACCACACTTGCTGGAATCTGAAGACCACTTGCTGGAATCTGAAGACCACTGAGGCTGT